GAAGCCTCACTGATTAAAGCGTCTACTGAAGGATCGCCTAAACGTGGTCAAGCCTTTTTTTTCACCGAGGTTCTCAAACAAAGGAGTTCGTATGTGAACAACTAAGGCGTACGATCATGTTTGACTACAATGACGTTATATCCTACGGTCCCACCATAAGTAATAGATATTATAGCAGCGAAAAACTCAAGTTCCTACTACTTATTGATCAGCATTTGCGAATCGTAGAGAAAATTGTGCTTTCTAGCAAAGATCGAAATCACAATTCAACATGATCTTGGGATATCCAGTTTAAGACAGTGGAAGTGATAGTCCAGAATAGCACAAAAAAAGCGAGGAAAATGCGAAAATCGGTGTATTTAGATTAATATAAGGCTCCAAAAATGTCTAAAGGTGGAGGTTGGGCTAGAATGTGACTACAAAAGCACCATGAGGGAGTATTACGGCGTGCTGTTCAAATGTGTGTCATTGCGTACAGCATGCTACAGTAAGCTGCCTGCATGCAAGGTGTGGGCCCCGGTGCGAATGGTGCACTCTCTACAGCCTCTAAAACGCCGTGACAACTCGTCCGCTTTTGGATGTCGCTCGAGCCGGTTTCAGGGCCACGATCTAGGCCGATTTTCGATGCGACAGCGCCCCTGTCGCACTACTCGGAATCACAGGAGAGATGAATATCAGAAACCGTCTTTATCATAAATTTTGCCTTTGACGAAGGCATCCTTCTTCTCCCTGGCATTGATCCCGCTCAATCTTAATCCCCCTTTTACACTCGCTCTTGAAAAGTGCCACTAATGTGTAACAGTAATTATGATTGAACCTCCTATGTGAAATAACTCAATTTCACACTAACAAAGGAAAGTCTCACGCGGCGACCACTCATGAACAATCTCAAAAGCATGCTGGAATAAAACAGCGAGCGTATCGTCAACTGCTGTCCGGCGGAATTTGAAGTAAACAGTGAATACAGCGAGTTCAGTCCTGATTGAAGAGACAAGTCGCAAATGAAAGTAAAAAAAAAAACAGATAAAAATGAATAAAGTAAAATATAAAAAATGGTAAATAGCAGTGATTTATGTAAAATAAGGCAGAATATATAGCCCCCTTCGCAGTAACGTAAGCATTTCTGTGCTGCGCCGAAGCCAGATGGATGTTCTTTCAGAGAGGAAGGTTTCAAACAAAGTTACTTACACAGGGATAGGTGCCAACTTTATGATTTTATGATGAAGGTTTGCAAAACACGCAATATCACGCCATGCCTCTGTCTTCATCAAAATTTCCCCCCAAATATAGAGATCCCCCGATTTTTTAAATTTTCAATACAACTCGTAATAGAAAATTTGGCTAGCACTGTCGTTGTATGAATTGGTTTGATGCTTAATGCCTTTGCTTGTTAGCTCAGTATGAGACTAATAAGCGATCGAATCCATCTGAGAGGAAAACCCGAGTTAGTAGAGGTGAGATTAAAAATGTGTAGGGGCTAGCTATGTACTTGTGAGATGGACGGCAAAGAATAAAGCTCGTTGCAGTGCAATCGCTTTCCTATTGACTAACCATAACGAGTCAAATCCAAACGAATTTTGAGGATGATAATGTCGTTATGAAGGTGTCTGCACATTGATGGGAGAAAATCTGAACCCTCAACACAGGACTCGGTTTTCTAGCTATTCGACGGTCATTCCGAGCAGTTATAATAAACTTTTTATCAATGCGATAAAAGCTAAAAGCCAGAAAAGGAGGAATTTGCGCTGAACTTTCGTCAAGGGATCGTAATTTGTGCTGGAATCAGCCGGCTTGTTGAAGCCTGTAAAGGTTTATCTGAGCAATAACTTAACAGCTATCGCTCAAATAACCCCCTTAAGGCTTCATTTATTAGTCAATGAAATTTCTTCTTAATCTCACTAAACAGTCCTAGTCCTTCAGATGGGCTAGTATTGCTTTGATCTGACACACCGATTCGAACTCTGAAGAAAGGAATTTCAAAAAAAATGCTCTTTACATGAAAAATCTAACCTTTCTTAAATACCAACTATTAAGAGAGGAGGATGAAAAGTAGCAAAAAAGTGAGAAGCGATTGAAAGTGTAACAGTATGTGCATACCTACTTACTTGGATAACACAATGTAATACGTGAATTAGCAGAATCATAACAGCCAGATGAGCCACGCATCTGATTTTCCGTTATGACCACAGTCGCATTTGAGCATTCGTTTAGCATATACAATGGGATGGAAAGATCGATTATCGATTCGCGCAGTACTAGCCGAGTGCATATAAATGCCTTACCCAAGTCCTGAAGTCATAAAAGCTGCTCATACCCAGTGTGCTCCAAAATCAATCCACAACTCCACCAGATCACCGCTTTGCCTGGACTGGAACTGTTTCACTTTCGTATTATATTATAACTAGGCAGAAATTCGCTCTTTTCAGTTGGTTTCAAGCGATTCTACGGTCACTGTCGAGGTTGTTTCCTTCAGTTCCATTTATTCCTAAGATTTCAGAGATTGACACCGAAGAATGCCTAGTCTTGCTTTGTAGAAAAGAACTAAATGGGACATGAAAGAGAAGAGTAAGTTGGATGTCTTAGAGGGCAAGAGGTCTCTATAGATGCATAGTTGAGTACGTTTTGTCCAATATCCACAGCCTTTTTATATTCTAAGTGGCATCGTTTGCGCTAGAGCTTCATAGAGTTGAAGTTCTCCACGACAGCGATTCGACCGATAGGGGAGTTGCTGAATAGCTGCGAACAAGGAAGTTGTGTTGGCAGCTTGGGCTCTCGTAAACGAAAGAAGTAATTAGATGGGCTAAGAGTGGGAGTAATTGCATCTCTAGCACGCATCTCCCTCCACAAACAATTCTAATTCACGAAAAAGCCACCAGAGGTGTCAGAGGACATATACAAAACCTACATTCAAAGGAGTTCGACGTCCAAATGCGGTTGTCGTGCGAGATTAACATTATTTTAAGCTTTGCTTTTCTACAGCACAGTTTTGATAATAATTATGGCTTTTATTTTATGTTTCGTTACGTCTTTTTGATGGAAGAATAGAGCCTTTGAACTGGGGTTTTGAATTGTTTATCAACCCTGTTCGAGGGACTTCCATTCGAAATCGTAGTGACGTGTTGAATGCGTATGTGGACTATACAACGACTTAGGATGGCTAGGAAATAGGCAAATCGGTGCTTTCATCCTCCCAAACGAGTCTGGTATCAAGTGGCTTGGGAGCCGGATACTGGGACAAAAATCCAAAGCAGAATAGACGAACCACAAAAGGCTTCATCGCTTACTTTTGAGCACCTAATCATACGACGAATACAGCATCCACCACGACTATGGTAAATGATTCCCACCCCAAAGACCGTGGTCTCAGGGAGCCAATACGGTAAATGATTCCCACCCGGACGACTATTTCTTATGTGAATTCGCAATCGGAGAACTTTCAACCTTCAATTTTTAGCCATTCCACTATTCTTTTTGACGTGCCCACTCCATCTTGTCCAAATTTTCGAGGTACATCATCAAAAAGTTTTTACTAAGCACATTCAGTTTACTACTCCAAATCACATTCCGGTCTTCTCCGTCCGCAGAAGGAAGATGAGACCTGTTTCTAGTATATTAGAGCTATGGTTATAAGAACTTTCACTGATGGGTAATAGCATTTCTTGTTTGTCAACAGACAAGGAAGCTCCAAACATTGGTCTTCAGTAGAGAGCGGTGTTGAATACATCAATGATAGGGGAATGTAACCCAGCAACGGTTGCCAGTAGTGGTTTCCGCATGAAGTTTGAACATCTCCTATTGCTCCTAATAGCTCCTATTATTGGTAAGATAAGAAACAGCTATTTGTGTTTTCCGATCAAACGATAAAATGAATTGAATTCTGTTTTTTTCGTATTGCATGTTGGACAGCCTTATAAGCCTTTAATTTATTATCAAGTTAAGCGAAAAGTTAGCAAGATTCGAAACTCTTATGAATAAACTTTATTTCAACAAAGTGCAATATAAAGATTTAATAAATGCATCTTCATTGCCAGCAACTTTTGCAAACGACCAAGTGAAGTGTTGATAACTCACCTCCACAGGTCCTTTATTTATTTATTTATTTATTTTGGTCCTGCGGTTTCGACCCGAAAAAAAGCAATGGAGCAAACCTAGAGATCTTCAAAGAACTGTTTCTCTTGTCCTCAAGATAGCTGCTGAGGTACAAGAATAGTTGGTATTCGGAAGGGACGAGGCTGAGGGCGTAGGACAAAGTTCTACAGCCTATTCTCAGGTAATCGAGTTGGGTCGTAATCGAGAAAGGTAGTTTTGCATGAACATGGCGCAGGAATACGAGTACGGAAGAGGTTAGCTTCCCCGAAGGTTCGTAATGGATTCTTGGGAGGGGTCTTCTTACTGGGCTGATCTGATCTCATGGACTTCAGCCCTTTATATCAACGTTGTGTAACCAGTCCCTTAGGTAGGAGCGGGGGAGAACTCGCAGACAGAGCACCACGCGCGTTCTCTTCTAAGAAATGGCCATCTCATTAGGAGTCCATTGGTCCAACTTGGTCAATTTTGACCTAACCTAGTAACGTTGACTTCCCTTTGACCGTAATTCTCTGAAGTTGTAAGTTCATCTGTACATCAGGTACCAATTGTTTCCAATTTTCGTCACATCGTGGCGGCACCAGTGAAGCACAAAGCTCTATGCTTCCACACTTGCGTGCCACACTAACTCTCCTAACAACCTTAGTGGGGCCTTCGATCGTACCTGAGTAACTAATGCCGAAGGTTTTAGAAGCATCAGCTGAACATAGCGACGCCTTAGGCTGACAGATTTAAAAATCTTGCTGTTTGACAGTAAGATGTAAAACTCATTCTAATACCTGCTCATTCCAGCAGCTCGATATGAAGAGGCCCGTCTTCACCAAGAGCTTTTCTCGAAATACAACAAAGCTCTCCGCCCGTCGGGCTCAGTTATTCATGTCTCCGTGAATTTGAGATTCTTCACACTTCTTTTCATGGAGCAGCAAGAGGAAAACATGGTTTTTTCCGGTGATTTCGAAATGGTGAGGAAATTAACGAGAGGTTCGTCTTACTTTTTATTAACTGTCCATCCACAGACTTGGACCGACGCATCCCTCAAGTGGAATCCAACCGAGTATCAAGGACTGCAACACACTAATGTATACGAAAAAGACGTATGGAAACCCGAGATCACCATATACAACAGGTAAATTAAAGCGTAGCTCCCTACAAAAGTGTGACAGTCACAGAACGGAACAAATCGTACATGAACTGAACCGCATTTTCTCTTCGTCGTAAGAAGCATCCGAGGATCTGAACATTTAATTTCAGTGTCGGCCAGGAACCAGTAATAGAGAACGATCGACGCTTGGCCACACTGACTCACGAAGGGCAAGTGCAGATGTCCAACCCTTCTATCTACACTGTGCGATGTAAATTAAACGTAAGCTCTCCACGAACACCTCTTATATCCAGCCCTACTAAATGTCAAAGGATTTTTATGAGTTGGTTCTTATAGCTTGCAGAAAGTGTTACGAATTTGGAAGAACCTCCTGCGTGGTCCAGTTAATTTGGATTAGATTAGGCATGGGGCAAACTTAGCAAAGCTATTATAGTAAACAAGCATTGCTATGAACCCACAAAACCTGCGTGATATCTGGTTGGTCCAATACAATGCGGGAGCGAAATTTCCAATCTTTTTTATTTTTACTTATTTGGACCTCGGCGAAGATCCAGCCGCGCAGGCTCGGGGAGGACATGTACCTATCCGGGCGAAAACATCCTAGTTTTGTTCTACAACAGCAAAAAAGAGCAGATGTGAGGAATGGATCAACAAATGGAACATAGAAGACCCACCATCCTCAAAGTGGGCGGTACATGCTACATATAATAGATTGCACCAAAGCCTGATGGTCAGAAACAAATTGTAGGAACGAACGGGCTTCGAGGTGTGCTGGCAACGCACAAATTCAGTAGAGCCTATGTTTGACACAGGGTGCTCACAGACAAAAAACGCTTTTTGCAAAAAAAGGTGAGGGGGGGGGGGCACTAAATATAACAGGGAAGGTACGCTCGCGATGGGCCTCATTTTAAGCATTAATTCACAAAACTCGTAACTCAATTAGATCAAAGGCACAGTTCACAACAAGTTTGGGGTATACAGTTTTATTCTGTAATGGAAGTGAGAGTTTAGAATAGTCCGAAAGTGGAGAAGGAAACGCGAAAAACGGTGTATTCAGAGAAGTATGAGGCTTCAAAAAGTTTCGCAAAATTAAGGGTTGTGGCAAAAGTTGCACGGAAGAGGTGTATGGACGGTTTGCCCAATATGAATGCCATTGCGTACAGCTGGCTACAGTAAACTGCCTGCATGCAAAATGAGCGTCCCGGTGCCAATAGTGCAACTTCCACAGTTTCTACGATGCCCTAACAAGGAAGGTCTTTCAGGGCATGGGACGCTTTTTGAAAATGGTTTTTTGCATGGCATAGGGGCATGAGCACTTAGTATAGAACTATGGTCCATTTCCGCTAAA